TCTAAAGGTGATGTTTCCGTTGTATGCAATTCCTTTTCTAAAGGTGATGTTTCCGTTGTATGCAATTCCTTTTCTAAAGGTGTGGTTTCAGTTTTATTAGATTCCTCTTTCCTCGTTTTATCGTTGCCGGTTAGTTTAGAAGTAGTTGATTTCGTATCTATAGCAGCTTGAGCATCGTTCTTAGCTTTTACAGAATACACAAATGTTGGAATTCTAGGTTTTTCACCTGCTACTACACATTTTGTTCCGGTTGCTTCTCCTGCACTTAGTACTGATTCAGTTTCCAGGTTTTCTTCATCTTTCTTAGCTTTTACAGAATATACAAATGTTGGAATTCTGGGTTTTTCACGTCCTACGACAGATTTTGTTCGGGTTAGTTCTTCAATTAGTACTGATTCGTTTTCTAATTTTACTTCATCTTTCTTAGCTTTTACAGAATATACAAATCTTGGGATTCTCGTTTTTTTACCTCCTACTACATATTTGGTTTCTGTTACTTCCCCTGCACTTAGTACTGATTCGGTTTCCACTGTTTCATCACTCGTAACCGATTCGGTTTCTATCATTTCCTCTATTACAATTGAATGACTTCCCAATTCTTGTTCCTCTGTGCTTGGTTGCAACTTTACGGGAGCTTTTGGAATAACGCATTTCTGTTGTACGCCCTGAGGAACTGTGTTAATTTTTTCACCCTCTAATTTAAATGATTTACGCGGAACTTTCTGGCTGGAGGGTGTAAACTTATGTTTCTTTGGTTGTCCCTTCACAGCAACATCCGCCTGACCTGTTTTCTTTAGCTTCTGCTGCTGTGCATTATAAGCTCTATTATGTTCAGCAGTTACGACGGGAACTTTGTACTTGGGTTTTCTAACTTCCTTTTGCATTTGCATACATGGTGGTTTCGCTTGTGGTTTCGATTGTGGTTTCGGTTGTGGTTTCGATTGTGGTTTCGGTTGTGGTTTCGCTTGTGGTTGCGGTGGTGGTTTCGCTTGTGGTTGCGGTGGTGGTTTCGATTGTGGTTTCGATTGTGGTTTCGATTGTGGTTTCGGTTGTGGTTTCGATTGTGGTTTC